GCAGTATTGCATGAATTCAGCTTAAGCAGTATTTAATCAGAGCATGATACTTTTAGAGCACAAGCTGGCACACATTTTTCTGACTTTACTCTCTGTATGTGGACATCTTCTGAAACTTAGATCATTCTTTAGGATGAAAGGAGCCTATCCTAGCATTTTCCTTGTGTGGACCACCCAAAAGGTCCACACAAGAAGAAATGTCCACATAAGAAAGGTGTTCTTTCAGGGGTTGGTTCGCACAAGTATATAAAGACACACACACACACACACACAGGAGACCAACTCTGATGTTTATAGATGCTAATGACCACGATGTACATATGCAACATCTTTAAAGCATAAAACTATCAGTACTTCATGTTTCCAGAAGAACAACATTTTCTGCACCAGTAATTTCACACATCACAGGACACCAAATCTCTCGGATGAGAAAATAACCATCATCACAAAACAATGACTAACCAGCTAGGGAACTGGAGGACGGCAAACGAGGCTGTGTGAAAGTTTCTGACTGGGGGGAAATCAAAGACTGTGGGGCTACAGCCAATTCTAAATGCTGGTGCCAGAATCAAAGATTTACAGATTTGCGTAAAATACAGGTAAAAAAAAATAAAAATCTTACCTGTATATTAATTGCATGCTTTATATACATGTTCTGTTTGTTCTGATTTTAATGTGAAACATAGCAAATAATCCTGGGAATTAAATGTGCTGTATAAATAAGTTTTGTTTTGATATATCCCCATTTATCTGCCCTCCTCCAGGGCGGCTGGGCTTTCATCATGCCTTCCAGTTGGAAACAAAGTGAACTGTGATAGACGTTTCCCAACAGATTCTTAGATGATACAGAAAAATGTTCACTTTGATTCTAACTGGTCTGATGGTTTGAGCAGCAGTAGCCTCCTCTTTAAGTGCAATAACATAATATAATAATATAACGGACAAACTCTGGAAGATACTGTTGGGTAAAATTATTAACAAAGTTATACTCTAAGGTTGGTTCTAACATTTGATTGAAGTAAGTACTTAGTAGAAGATTGACACCATGACTGTTGTTCATTTAACCTGTGTGTTCACTTTGTAATAGTCAAGATTATATTTTAGAAATACATAAGTTCACATACTTACATGTCACAGATATGTTTATGAAGTTACTATTCACCACATTATATGTTCACTAACATGATGAGAAAATAAGTTACTGTATGCATATTGAAAACTCTGTGTGATATTACAGGCCCATGAGATTAAAAGTGTGGTGCACTGAGTAGCTCTCCAAGGTCTCATCATCCCACAGTATTTCTGATTTGTTGCCTAAGGTCTCATCATCCCACATTCCATTAGATTAGTTGCCTTTTCTCCACAAGAGCTCATTATTCACTCTGAGCTTTGAAGCCAGGGGAGTTAGGGTTTGATAAGATACTAAGACTCACACCAAAGTTATAATCAGATTTTGGCCTAGAAGAAACACCTGCCTGGTAAAATAGCTATTTACACACACACACAGGCAGTGCTAGGTTTTCCTCCCTCTCTAGGAAAACTGTCTTTCCTCAGGTGGAGCAGGGAGGACCTTGGGAAATGGACGGACTGAGAGACCAATGAAACAGCACGAGAGGCACCAGATCAACCTACTTTGCACATTTCAAAATTGTACAAGACATTGGTTTCAGGCAGGTAGGCGTTCCCTCTGGTCCTGAAGGTGAGTTGGACAGTTTTGCTGTTTAGGTTCAGGGCTTCAGATAGAGACGGAACCCAGAGCTCTGTAAATTGCTTTATTCGATAGTCTATTCAATTGTGATAATACATGTTTAAAAGTGATATTTGACTCTGATCATTCTTCATAAAAGAACACTCTGCAACACCCCATGGTGTTATCTGCTGGGATTCTGCCTGCTCATCTCTGCTCTGTGTTTGGGCTCGTCACTATGACAGTTGTAGCACCCGTGGGTAAAAGCAGACACCATTTATTCAGCATGCCCTTGAAAATGCTATACATTTGACACATGTACGCACACACCCCCACAGGATCAGTGTGCACCCCTGTGCTGAGATGACACTGCTAACACACTTCCTAAAGACTTGTTCACAGTGTGCGTTTAAAGCCGGAGCACATGCTCATGCTTCCATGTGCATGTGTGTAGTGGTCAGTCTGTGTTTGGTGTGTGTAGAGAGGTATGTCCACTTGTTAACAACTGTGTCCGAGTCTCAAAGTGTGTCTTGTTCTCTGTGTGTGTGTGTGTGCACTCACCCATGCTGTTGGTGGAGCTGCACCACATCAGCAGACAGCCAGTGCACAGCAGGTTGAGTGCCCCGAACAGCAGGATCCGCCATGACTGGAAACGACAACACACAAAGTAACTATTAAAAAACAACACAAGGAGCAGTGTGGCTCAACCTCCGGGTCGAGGCCCAACAGAGCACCTGTCATACTGACAAGCGTATTTTTTTCTTCCATGGAGCACATGGCCTGAATGGGCCAATATCTGATGGTTGGTAAGCACCTCAGAAAATAAAAACTATTTACTGGGGGGCAGAAGATGAAATCACAGCTGTGCTTACAACACTGGTTTGCTGTACACAGTAGAGCCAGCAGACACAGATCAACATGCTCCTCTGTGCACAGTGTGTCTGTGTCGCCCTGATGAGCCTCAGCCCAGTGCTCCCTCTCGGTTAGCTCTGGCCTCCACCACCTCCTGAGGGGAAACCTCTGGCTCTGGAGCTGCTAAATGCTCCACTGTGTTCCCCAGCTGGTCTCTGACTGGCTCTGTCTGCTGCTGAGCAGGTCGTGGACAGCGGCTGCACATCAACGCTAGCCCACTTCCTCTTTTACAGTCAAAGTATTTGACGACTGCTGTCATTTCTTATGGTGAGGAGAGTCTGAGCAAAGACAGATCATTTTGTTCAGACACAACCAGTATCTGAGTCCATTCAATATTGTTCTTGTGCCGTCTGCCCAGATGCAAACTCAGCAGTGAAGAAAACAAAAAACCCTTGAGTATAAAGTTGCCCCCTAAGCAGAGACAGTGTGTGTTTGTGTGTCAAAGAGAAGGGGAACATGAAATGGAACAAGGAAATGAGTGTGTGTGTGTGTGTGTGTGTGTGTGTGTGTGTGTGTGTGTGTGTGTGTGTGTGTGTGCCCTGACCTGTCACTTCGTGTTGGAGTCATATGCCTTGGTGGAGAGCGCAGAGTGCTGTGAAATCTACAATTACTGTGGTGTGTGGTGTTATGACAGCACTGGGGCGTCTGGTGACAGCACTAGCCAGAGACAGGCATGAGAGACCCACAGTGTGTGTGTGCACGCATATGTGCATGTGCCTCTGTGTGCAAACACAGAGACAGCACCCGGCCCGAAACATTCCCAACCCCGCCTTCGCCTAAACACACATACAGTGCCTGGAGGAGAGTGCACGGTTGGCGAGTCTCTGCTACCCCCGTCTGTCTGTAAGCATAACGGCGTGCCAACATATTGGGGTCACACGTGACACTGGAGTGACAGAGCTGCAGTGCCGGTACAGCAGCTCAGTCACCAGGTACCGTATTAAATAAGGAGCCTCTGCTGACGCCAGGCCTGATTACATCATCACCAAGCGCCGTGCCAAGCTGCAGTGCCAGGCAAATGTGTGTCATCATGGTGAGCAAAGGCGTGACTCACAGTAGCCTCTGAAGAGCGGAGAACAAGAGGGAGAGAAGGCTGGGAGTATGTGCAGAAGGATTGTTTGAACCAAACTGAAACCTGCCGATGCAACCCACCAAGGATGGACTCCAGAGACAAAGAAGCACAAAGCCATCCTCTAATATGATTTTAATTTGGGAGGAACTAGAGCTTTGTGTCACATCAGCAGAAACCAGAGCATCCTATTGGACTGACACATTTACTGTTAGCCAGCTAACTCTAGCTTCAGACTGGAGGCTGCATTCGGAACGGTTTGTCACAACCAGTTTATGCTGTAGCCTCAGGAGACAGGATGTGATGGGAGGGACAGCGAGCAGGAAGCAGAGGTCTATGGGATCACTTTGTTTTGAGTCTCACTAGAGGGTGAAAAGACTTTAGGTAGAGTAGCTTTAAAGACAACAGATTTCAGCACAAAGCACACCAGCTGTCTGTGTAACAGTTTGTGTGAATCTGTAAAAACCCCCGTGTCGTTCAAACTGTACCCAAAGTCAGACACTGACAGCAGGAAGGCCGATGAGGCGCTGAGGAACTTTCACCGGCCTGAACTCTGCTCAGTTCCTAAGCCGTGCACAACACCATGTAATCCAATCCAAGGCTCTATGGGGAAGCGAGACCTCCTGCCAGTGTGTGGTCAAAGTGGATTATTGTACAATAACATGGACGCACACACTCATAGAATAATGTCAGACACTCATTATTATGTCTCCAGTGTTTTCTCTTTAATTTTATGTCCCAGTGTTGTTTTTAGCTTGGACTCGACATCTGTCTCTGTTTTGATGTAACACACTGTGCACTACTGTTATTTCCTAATTTCAGAAGACAAAAAAAACATTGCAAGCATTTGAAATAAACATGTTTTCTGAGTAGGAAAATAGGGCAAACTCTGTTGTTGTTTCTTGCTAATTTACGTTTATCAGGCAGATCAAAGCTTGCAGCAGCACAGGCTCTCTCTCGGCATTTAAAGCTTCATAGAGTAGTGCTGTAAACATGTTAGAGGTGCTAATCAACATGCTCAACAAGGCGATAAGTGAGTATTTTTGAAAGTGATTTGGGTATGTTTTAGAATTACCAGGAGACCTTGTAAGATTCAGGAACTCGCCCCCAGAATCAGAGCTTTCACACAACACCACCTGATGAAATATCCCTTCTGAATCTGAATGTAAAATGCTATCAAAATAAACTCTCAACCTTCGCAGCAATCGCAATAATTACTGACCAAGAAGTGCACAAATAAGTCTGGAACTGATGTATCCAGCTTAGTTTATCATGTTCCACAAGTTTTGGAATCACAGTGAAAACTTGTGGCATTCATTGCAGCTGATGTGTCTCAAAGCTGCTGTTGTCTGTGAATGATGAAACTGCAACTGATTTAACAGCCACCAACCAGGTCATCAAGGTGTCAGGGTTAGATACTCAAAAGAAATGTTCAGGGGGGTGAACTGCAACAAAACACCATTATACTCTAAGCTTCCTGATAGGGTGTATGGACTCTCCAGCTCCATCACTAAAAGCATCAGTAAAAAAGGAAAGGACAATATGCAACAGGATCAGTGCAGCATCAGTGCAGAAAAAAACTAACACACAATGTAGAGAAATGGAGACTACAGTGTTCCTATGGACCAGACAAAGTGGACCAGCACTCAGCTCGTGGCTGCCAGTGTTTTCCACTAAGGGCTGCGTCCCTGCTGCTTTCACTTGAACATCGTGGCCTACTAGGAAAAAAGGATTACTGGAGGTGTTTGGGTTTGACTCTGGATATAAGACACAGAATCAAACCAGCTTACAGCATAATGGGATTGTAAAGTGAGGATTCTCCAGACTGCTCAGTGAAAACTGAGAAGAGGTTTGGATGACGACGACAACAACCAGGGATTTGATTGACTGATAAATAACAGAATGAAGCCAAAAATACCAGATAACACAAATATTACAACTCATAAAAACAAGTCTGAAATGTAGTTTTTACTCTGCATTTCACACACACAGGCTTACCCGTCTATCTGTGGCAACCAGTCTGAATTCCTGCAGGAGTTTCCCAAAAATGGATCTGTGAGTCTTCCTGAACGGATGAATGGTGCCCTGCAAATTTCAAACATGTACATTTCATTATATATATATTATAGTAATATCCAAACATGAGAATAAATAACATTTAATTTGACGAAGGATGAGTGTGCAGGGAAATATACAGATACAAAGTCGACCTACAGCGCCACCAAGTGGTGCATTAGTATACAACACATCAACCAAGTAACCTTTTCAAAGGTGACCGAGGGACGAAAAAAATCTGAACCAGCCTTTAAAACGCACCCAGTGTAATTACAGTATGTAAATGTCTCTAGGTTATTAGTCCCAGAAACAACAATGAGGACGACTGACCCCAACACTGGTCACATCCTACCTGACTGTCCAGACCAGACATTTAACAAAGCACCGTTAAAGATTACAGCTATTTCAGCTTGAACTGTTATCCAACTCCAACTACATGGTTGGACATAGATTTGTACAGGCTACTTTTGTTAAAAAAAATCATCATCATCATCATTATCATCACCACTCTCTTTGACACAATGCAGACAGGAAGTCTGGAAGACAGCAAACACCAGCACCCTGTAACATTTACTGACTGTCACAATCTCCATAATCAAACCAATGTTCAGCATCATTAGTGTTCGTTCCAGTTGAGAGCACACAGGAAGCACCTGAATATGACCAACAGACCAGACTTATTTCTGTTACTGTCAACTTCTGTAAACAGGTGGCATCAAATCTGTATTGTTCTACCTATAAACAGTTGTGTTATAAGCAGAGCTGGACAGTTAATCAATTAGTTGGTCAAACAAAAAAGTATCTGTTTGTCAGTTTTCAAACAAAAATGTCAAACCTCTGACAGCTGGCATATGATACATCAGGTGAGGTGCGCTGTAATCATGCATGTAAAGGAGCCCAACTCAATAAAGACCTTACACACAATGTGCTGTATACTTGCTTTCCTCAGTGTTACGTGCACGTCATCTTCATTTAGACTACAGTCTCATGCTTGTTCAGTGGTGCACCACTGCACAGGAGTTGGACAGCAAACTGAGCAGTGTGTGGAGCCAAGCCTAAGGAGAGACACCAAAACTGGGTGCGAAGCAACACTGTGATTAAATCAGATGTTTGAATCTACAGACTAGCCATTCCACAGTCCTGTGGTGTGCTGTCGATGTGAGACGTAACCGGAGCTTTTCAGCTGCCAACTAAACTTAGGCCTGCAACACAAACAAGTAAGAACATCAGCCAACACCTTCCCTACTATCAGTTTTCTGCCTTGACAACAGTCATGCCAATGACAAAGAAAACTCCCTGTAGAGCATCCAGTCCCTGAACGAATGTCTTCATTCATACACCTGCTCTCAGCTTCAGCCATGACGGCTGCGGACTATTTGGAGTTAATCTGCGTGCATGCAGGTTCACTACTAGAGCCCTGAGGAGGAAACTGATCTGGAGATTAAAAAAAAAAAAGATAAAGTTGCCATTAAAACAAACAAAAGTCTTGGAGGCTACTCACCAAGACGTATGTGTCGTGCTCATGCTTCTTCTGGTGCACGGAGATGTCTGTGGGAAAATACAGATGCCACTGTTAACATGCAGTAGAAACACTCTCATGGCAGCCATGTATTGCAATATGACCTGATGCTGAAAACCAGGAAGCCAGACTGACAATCACTAAAGGTTTTCATGTTTTCATGCAGATAATGAGAAACAGTGTTGTTTTCCGAAAAAGATAAGCCAAGTTCAGGTTTTACTGTGTTATGCTACCACCTCTTCGTGGTTTTACAATCTGTTGTATGGCAGAGAATGACAATGTTGAGGCTTAACAGTCAGCTTCTTTGAAATGTCTAGCAACAGCCGAATGACCCCGGGTCACGGTAATGTCACGGTAGTTGTAGTTAACTAACAGCAGGATTCACCGAAACACTCAGCTGACGATCACAATCAAACAGAAACAGCTGTTAGCAAAGACCTAGCAAAGCCGGAGCAGTTAGCCTGTTAGCATAACAAACCTGAATCCGTGATATTGATCACATCCACCGACACCATGTCAGGTTTATCCAGTGGCCCCACCTTCCTCTCGGTCACCCCAGATGGCACCACGTCCGGCTTCGGACCGAACTTTCGTGGGTAAAAATCCCCGACATTGTGATAAGAAAGATTAGAAGACGTGGACATCATTCCCTCCATCGCCATGTTGGACTTCCTGTACCCATGAGCCTCTTCCCTTTGGTTGCACGGCGCAGGCGTCACTGCAAAGAGTTTGTAGCTGCCAAGATTCACAGTGTAAGACAGCTGCTCTGTACTTTTGTGAATCCAGTTTCCTTGTTTCAATTTTAACAGATTTTAACGATACCTTTGGCCTGATTCTTGTTTAAGAAATCTCATTGTTTTATTGTTTGTAATCGCTGTCATCTAACTTGTTGTCCGATACAGATTGTACAGGTTGTCAGATTAATTTTACCAGTTTTATAGTGGAAGCTAGGCTAAGAAAGGAAGTGGATATCTGTGAGCAGCAGTATGGCTTCATGCCCAGAAAGAGCACTACTGATGCAATGTTTGCTCTGAGAATGTTAATGGAGAAGTATAGAGATGGTCAGAAGGAGCTGCATTGTGTCTTTGTGGATTTAGAGAAAGTGTACGACAGAGTGCTGAGAGAGGAGCTATGGTACTGTATGAGGATGTCAGGAGTGGCAGAGAAGTACGTCAGAGTAGTTCAGGATATGTATGAGAGGAGTACGACAGTAGTGAGATGTGCTGTAGGTCAGACAGAGGAGTTCAAGGTGGAGGTGGGGCTACATCAAGGATCGGCTTTGAGTCCCTTCTTGTTTGCTATGGTGATGGACAGGTGACAGATGAGGTCAGACAGGAATCTCCTTGACCAATGACGTTTGCGGATGACATTGTGATTTGTAGTGAGAGCAGAGAGCAGGTGGAGGAACA